GATTAATATGGTCATTAAAAAAGATGTAGGTTTTTAGTTACTGTGGTTTCCAGGTCACTAATAGATCATTTTTGAACTGGTCCTAGGAGAAGTGAGGTTTCTGTACTGGCCTCTGGACCACAGAGACTGGTAAGGTTACAGGATCAATGCTCCCGAGTTGCCGTGGGATGAGGGATATTAAAATTGTTCAATAGCAACCGTGAGGGTTTTTTACTGATCAAAGTATATCCTCATTTTTTGGTGAAAAAGGAAGCCAATGTTGGCTGCTTTCTGTTCCAAGTGTACTTGTAAAGTCAGCCTTGATACGTCGTGCTTCGATCAGGAAAAGACCTCCAAAATATGGCAAACCTCCTCTTACCTTGCTTAGAATCTTCAGGGGTGGAGATCTGTTTGATCAGGTTTTTTTTTCATCTTTGACAGGACTGTCTCAAATGCTTCTTTCAGCAAGACACACTGACTTGGAACAACCAAATCCACTGTTCCTGGTGTGGAACTAAACAAGATGCTGCAGTAAAGGGCACCATAACCAAGGCACCACAGATCATCATTTTTCACCTAAAGAGGTACAGTCCATATGGGGAAGGACACAGCAGTTTCCTGGGACTGGTGGGACATGGACAGCCACTTCCATTTGCAAAAACAGGAAAAAAAATCACCACCAATGGGTGGTTTTAGTACTTTTGATATTTGGAAGCTAAATGAGCCATGACAGAATTATACCTGTCAAACATGCAAGTTGCACTCCTGAAACCTCAAGGTGTTCTGCCCTACGCTATACTGCAGCCCACCAAATGTCACTCACTACACCTGGGATCTCCAAAGGGAAGACAAACTCCACCGAGGAGTGACTGACTACAGAGTACAGTGGTTCATATGGTCAGACATCCCTACAAATACGAGTTCCTGGGGGCAAGTGGGAGAGCTTGTGACTTGGGCTCTAAGTGCAGGACTGAAACAGGGCGTTTTGTTTGTCATTATTGCAGCTGAGATACTGTATTTTTGTTTATCCCTTAACTAAATCAGGCCTAAGCAACTGCATCTGTCAAACAGAACAGTGTGCCAGTGTCAGAGCTCCTGACTAGCAGATTTTACTAGCTACACAGGGCCAGATCCTAAAGTTACTCTTAAAGATTTATTCATAATAACTTCCCACCTATAAAGAAAATCACTCTGGGATGATTTGGCTTCCCAGAACTATATTACAGAGGAAAGAGGGCTGGAGCCTGGAATGAACAAAGAGGTGACAAAGTGCAGTCCAGAACATTTAGGGGACAGTGACAGCACTGCAGAGATTTTACTTCTGCCATTTCTAATAGACAGGAGGAGCAGGAAGCAAGATCTTTGCTATTCTTGCTGGACATCTCTTGTGGGTTTAGTGCATTTTCTGTCAGCTTACAGTAGTACTCAATATAGATCTTCCTGTTTCCAAATGCTGGGTGGTCATTCGTTGTTTTTCCCTTCCCCTAGGGAAGTCAGTTAAGAAAAAAGTTTAACATTATTTAAAATAGTTCAAAATTTTGTTTCAGGTTTGAATGGCAAGGGAAGCACAACAGGAAACTCTCAACCGACATCTACTATCCACTCAGCAACCTGGATCTCTCTCCTTACAGTTCCCCGCTTACGTGCAAGGACACAGAGTACAGCCTGTGCGCTGTAGTGGTGAGCTCTGCCTTTCCTGCTGCTACCTGTAATGCCCTCCCTCGGGGGCAGATGAAGCTGGGGTTAGTTGGGACTTGATCAGAGCAAGAGCCATCCCTGTTCCTGGCACTTAAAAATTGCAGTTAGAGCATGTGAGCGAGCACAGGTCCTCTCTGCTTCCCCAACACTGTACCAGTAGCAAGGTTTTTATATAATTTATGGGGGGGGTGTGTGTGTATGTGTGTGTGT